CGCCTCTTTGATTGTCTTGAAGGTGGCAATACAAGCAGGTTCAAGGCAGCTAAAAGTATTGACAGACTCAGTAACATCGTGTTTTCCCTTTGCCTGGTATTTCTTTTGTGTAACACACGGTATCTTTTTCGTCCACTCCCCAATCCTTTCGAGCCCAGAAACATCTTGTTCATGCCAAGACCCCTTTATATCCACGCCCTCTCCAACATTGTAAGCTTGCCAGACGCGCATGCTTTTAGAAGTCAGAGAGAAATTATTGTATTTCGTTATTCCCGGAATCTTGTTATTAGCAGCGCCTGTTGACATCGCTCTTGCAATCCGCAATGCTCGTTCCTGCAATTCCTGGTGGGGACTCCAAGCCTTTCTTTATGTCTTTCGCACTTTCCACGTTGTGATTCTCAGCAACATAATGTCGAAGGCGCTCTTTGCAAGGGGCGATCTTTCTGTCACATAAGTCTTTACCCGACTGAGGGTCAGAGAAATCATAGCGGATTACTTCGATGCCTGACCTTCTGCTAGTGGAATTGATGGTTGACAAAAGCGCACTACAGTGGTAGCATCCAGCATTATCACTTCTTAGGATCGCTCTGCATACTGATTGATGCGATTCTTTGACACAGACAAGGACCTCTTCAAGCATACATGAAACGGAAAACCAGTCCTGTTTGCAGCTGTCAATGGCAACCACATATGTGTGGATTGTGTGTTCACTTGCGGATACTACTGGACAGTCAGGATGGTTTGATTTGTGAACAACAGCAGAAAGGTGCCAACTAATTCCTTGCTTGGCGAACCATTGGGACTGCGTTTCTCTGAAACGCATGGGAAGTGGGGTGGCTGGAGCATCAACAATTAGAGTTCGGCATGAGCTGCAAATGGCTGAAATGGTACAAGGAAAAAGGATGATCAGAACACACGGAATGAAGCAAATGATACCTGTCTGCCAAGCAAATAGTCTTTCAGTTCGCTTTACAGAAAACCTTCTAGTGCGCTTACAAATTATGATCGGTTTTCGGGCTTGAAAACAATTTAAATTGGGGTAGCGAATGCAAGGTACATCCGCCTGTCGTTAAGTTTTGATTACTAGTCGTATAAGAATGGCAATAAAAGTTAGTTAATATGTCATTAGAATGATCTTAGTTATTAGTTAGAGTTTTTTTCTTTAAAAAAAAAAAGGGGGAAAGTAAAAGAATTTCTTGAAGAACAGTGCCACCCCTGGTATCACAGAAATAAGAAAACATAGATACAGTATATAGCAACAACAACGCCAGTGTTCCTGTAGATCTTCCACCATGAATTTGCTCACACGCCTCTTGCGGGTGAATGCTTTAGACACTTTTAAACGCGATGGTGCTTTTTCTTCATGGCATGGATGACAACATTTATCCTACAGCACAATTCGCAAGTTAACAACATACCGTGTCTAACAAATGTAATTCAGGATTGAGGGGTGTAACGATTTCACTAGCATGTGTCCCCCTCCACCCACTACCCCCTTCCACATACACACAGGTAGAGAGCTAGAAATCTACTATCTAGGGAAAAGCTTGAGTGAAGAAAGTGTGTTAGTTGAGTAATGCATTAGCATCACTAGGGAAGAGATGTCACATTACGAGCCTGCAACTAAAAAAACCAACAACAACCAAACGTAATTTGCGCGATAAAGAACAATTCAGCTCTGCTTCGGAAATGACAGGTTTGTAACCTGGGATTTTTAGCTGTATTTCTATGAACTGAACCCTCAAAGGGCCTGCCCAAAAAGGTGGGTGGACTCACGCATCGATCAGTCCTGTAAAAATCCACTATACTTTATTTCATGCAAATCATTTTGCCATCTCCACCCGCAAATAGCAAAAGCTAGACGAGGCAGGCGGAGAGGAAAGGTTACAGCAGTCATAACAGATAATATAATAATTGTGAATGAAAGTGATCCTCGCAGTGATGTGCACTACCTAGGCAGTAGTGAAAATAAGGCCTGAAAAAAATTCAGGCCTGTACGGGATATATTCTTAACCGCCAATATAATAATTGTAAAGTAACTAAATAAACTATCTGGATAAATAAGGACTACTGAAAAAAAAAACAAAAAACAAAAAACAAGCTAAAGTTACAAAATATATAGTCTTACAGAATGATATTACAATCAAATTTACTACTAACAGAACTATCAATTATATACATTGAGTCGAGGATGCAGAATTTGCCATTTTTTGTAGGAGAATGGGCACTTCAACATAATCGTCCTCTGCTTCCATGCTTTGAATTAGCTTTAGTGAAGAAATCACAGATGTTAGACGGAGCATTCATGCAGGAAACGTCAAACATTATAGAAGATACTTTTTCAGCATATAACATTTGTAAGGGTAGAATTTTCGAGGAAATAAATAAAGGCACAGCATGGGCTCTAGGTTCAGGAAAGTACATCAAACGAAGGGCTCGTTTTTGAAGCACGAGGATTTTTTTTAAATGGGTTTTGGCAGCTTGACCCCAAGCCGCCAAACCATATGTCAGATGAGGCAAGATCAATGATTGATAAATATTTAAAAGGGTTGTACGTGGGACGAAGTGCCTAAGACGGGCAACACCAACAGTTCTGCTTATTTTTAATGCAACATTATTTATTTGAAATTTCCATAAGTTGCTGGACGCCGAGATATTTAACATGGTCTTCGCACTGAAGCGTGGTAGGAATTTGAGTACAGTTATCGATCATTTCAATGTTAATCGAGTAGTTCAACTTACGTTGATATGGACGAAAGATAACATAGTTTGACTTTTTAGCATTGAGCGTTAACTTATTTGCATTGAGCCAGTCAGACTTTGAGCAGTTCGCTATTGACGGTTTTTTCAAGAGATAGAATGACAATTTCGCTGAAGAGTTGTGAATATCGTTAATATAGATTAAGAATAACAGAGGACCAAGCACAGACCCCTGTGGGACACCACATGAGATCATACATTCGTTAGATAAGTTAAAATCCACTTCAGTTACTTGTGAACGACCGAGAAGGTATGAGGCAAACCAAGCATTGATAATTCCTCTGATGCCATAATGATTAAGTTTTTGAAGCAAGATTAAATGGTCGACGGTATCAAAGGCCTTTTTTAAGTCTAAAAAGATCCCGCAAGTGAAAAGTTTTTGGTCCATATTGTTTTGTATGACATTAACGATATCAATAATGGCATGTTGCGTGGAATGGTTTTCGCGGAAGCCATACTGTGACTTAAATAGAATATCGTTATTACCAAGATAGGATTTGAGGCGGTGGTACATTAATTTTTCAAATATCCGATTGAAAATAGACAGTAATAATATCGGACGATAATTACCAGGCTCAGTCTCATCTTCATTTTTGTACACAGGAACAACTTTCGCTTTTTTCAGTTTGGATGGAAAGATGCCCTTTTGCACAGATATGTTTATGATGATGGAGAGAGGGCCCGAGATAACGCATCTTGCGTCAGTTAAAATACGAATCGGACAAGAGTGGAGACCGTAGGTTTTATTTTTAGGGATCAAAAGTATCTCACGCTCAATTTCCTCTGGCGTAACTGGATCAAAGAAGAAAGAGCTTGGATTATAATTGGGAGACAAGTATTCGGTAAAAAAGCGAGATGAACGAGGTACGCGTGAAGCTAGGTTTTTACCGACCGAAGAAAAGTAGTTATTGAAGATGTTAGAAATCTCAAGAGGATCATTAGTCATACTTTTATCATGTTTGTGTGTAAATGTATAGACAATGATCAGATGAAAGCTGACTAAACGGAGAATTTTTCTGGCTTTCTTCTTGAATTGCTATACTGCTTAATTCTCTTCAGTGTACACCATCTATACCAAGAATCAGCTTTGGGATAATTGATTTACCTCTTCTCCCACTTGCACTCTCCATACATGCCATCCAGTAGTACAGATCAACTGATAATGTTTGGAGCATGCTACAAATTCTGCAGATAGTTAAAAATAGAAACAAAACTGATTACTTTTAAGGATTTGTTGACAAATGGGAATTATTCTCACTTTGATAACCTGAGTATGGAATTTGATATAAGTTGGAAAATTGTAAAACATGTGCATACTCTAATTGTTGGAGTGTTGTGTCATGTCATGTTTAGTAACATAATGCTATGATTTCTGGAAATGGCTGATATATGACCTGTCTCAGTTTCCGACCAGGAATCCTTTAGCCTTTATTTGAATTTCTAGTACTAGGCAATGAAATTTGAACTTCAAGGTAATGTTGTCTTAATAACTACACTGTAGCCGTACAGGCACAAGATCCTAATTTTATAACAACAAACAGCAAGCAGCTAACCTTCGCACAGGATCAAAATTATCGCCCTGTTTTATGATAATTAGTGTAAACATTTTAAAATCTCTCTTTGCCTGGAAGCATATCTGCAAAAAAGCAAGCAAGAGAAGCGTTTAATTGAGGAAAATTTGGTTTTTTCAGAGAAATCTACTTTTCCAGTTCTTTAACAGAATTGAAATATGTTTGGAAGGAGAGTTTGATTTGAAATTTCTTTGTAATGATAATAGTCCTTGTTGCAAATGCTATTAAGAATGCATAGGAAGGGGTTGGGGCTGGACAATTTATTTTTGGGTATTCTTTGGGGTGTTTTGATTGGGTAGGAGCTTAATGGAAACCTGTTGAAAGCCAAATCACTAAAATTTAAGTCCTATTTCTTCTTTTCCCTCCCTCAGTGAAAGGGAAATTGAAGCATTACTTAGAGCTTTGTGTAGTTTCACTCAAATACCTGGTATGCTTAGAGTAGGGAGCCCCTATAACCACATTAGTCGCAACTCTAACATGCACACTAGGTTTTTTAGCTATGGTGTAGCACTTTTCTGTAGCCACATGCAAAGGAAGTGGACAAAAATGTACATGTATGGAACCTTCCACACATATCTTTGCATTTTTCGCATATGTTTAGCACACTAGTTAGACACAGACTTCCATGTGTAGTGGAGCTATAACATTCAATACTAGCCTCTTCAAAGGTGAGATTTAAGAAGACAGGTAGGGAATCCAGCACAGCATAGTTTTGGTAAAGTTCCCTCTCACATAGAAGTACCTCCTCCACCCTGTCCAGTCTCCCTAATGCCACTAGGGAAGCAAATAACCAAAACAATTGAATTTGTTAAGTGGTACACATGAAAGAAAGACATTAAGCTTCAGTGGTCTTAAATTCCTTTATGAATACTTTGACTCAACTCTACAACTACAGTGTGCAAAGAAAGTTATGTATGATAGCCCAGGAACAATGGATTTTCTGATTAGGCTAGTGAATTCTTACTCTCACTTGCCCAATGGATAGACAGACTTTTTCAAGATTCGTTCAAATCACATCATTTTGGGGCAGTAAAAATCACTCGAGGGCCAGTACCATGCTAGTCATGGCTTGCCCTTCAGGGCAAGCAGTGAAGCCCACTCTCTTTACCATCTGAACTACCTGAAAAAGAATGAAGCCTGGCAAACTACTGTAAAACCTGTGTTGAAGCATGCATCCTGTGTATCCAATCTACCTTTTCAATTAATGGTACCTTTTCCGAGGTTTTGACGAACAGCTCCCACTGGGCTTAAGTCTTCTCGAAGGACACCAACTACATTTAAATGTTTTCCCATTAGAACATTGAATTTGAGCATTGATGTATTGTACTGTAAATAATTGTCACCATAAAGCCAGTGCATCAATCAATGATAGTAAAGATGATATACCAATAAAAATTAAAATATTTATACTAATCCACAAATAAAGTCTGGTTAATATGGCGCACATATATAATGATGGTACAATTTATCTCCAATCATAATCTTCGCAATTAATCTTAACCAATCAATGGCAAGATATCACAGTTTTTACCTGTTTGAAGGGCATCTGTTCTGACTGAAAGAATACGTGGGAAGAATGTTAAAATTGTAAATTTTCTTTGAACGTAAAGAATTAAAAACAAATAATGACAACAACCCAGACGAGTGGGTTGTTGTATCAACTGGTAATACCTTGGGGTTGATCATCTGCAAGCCATAACATTTCAGGTAAATCATTATCTGTTGAAATGTATGAACATCAGCACAAATGAAAATTGCAATGGACAGTTTAACAAGGAAACAACCTCAACCATTACAGGTTGTTTAGTTTGATGTGATGTTTCGGTAAGGGATGTTTAAACAAGTTCTTGGTATCAGACCATGAGCATAATAGGTTTCATAAATCATTCATGACCTGGAATATGTTAGACAATTAAATTTAAGAAGCTGCAGCCTCAAAATGTTTACACCCACTTACCAACATGCATGGATTGCTGCAGTTGGTCATAATCTCTCATGATAATAAACATAAATATTGTTAAGGTGTATGCTGGATATCACTAATTAAAGAACTGCAATTCAAGTCAATTGTGCTTGTATTTCTTCAGTACTGTTATTTTTTTTGTCCTTTGTAGTGTGTGTATGGAAAAAATATTCCTTACCTCCAATTTCTGAAGTGGATGATGTGGTGTTGGGGTGAGCCAATGGAGGAGCAAAGATGGGTCGGGATGAATGAGGAGCGGGGTTACGTTGGGCTAGTGGAGGATCGGGGTTAGGTTGGGTAAGTGGAATAGTGGGGTTGGGTTGGGCTAGTGGAGGGGTGTGGTTAGTTTGGGCTGGTGGATGGGTGGGGTTATGTTGGGCTGGCGGAGGAGTTGGGTTCGTTGGGGCTAGTGGAGGATTGGAGTTAGGTTGGGAAAGTGGAATGGTAGGGTTAGGTTGGGCTAGTGGAGGAGTGGGGCTACTTTGGGCCAGTGGAAGGGTGGAGTCAGGTTGGGCTAGTTGGGCTAGTGGAGGGGTGGGGTTAGTTTGGGCTAGTGAAGGAAAGGGGTTAGGTTGGGTCGATGAAGGTACTGGAGTTGATACTGTGGATGTCGAGGTATGTGAGGCTGAAATCAAGAATGAGATTCTTGTCACGAGGGATCAATCACATATTGCAACTGAGGGACATTTTTCTTGACATAGTTGTGAATTTCTGACTCATTGCCTTCAACATGGTCGTTGATTGCTTCAATAGTTTACCTAAATAGGAACATGTTTTCTTTGAAAGTTTTAATTTTTTTAGACAATGAGAGAGTTTAGAACAGTGCACAAATGTAACTTGCTAAAAATTCACAGCAGCAAGAAAACATCTGTACTGGTTTGCCAAGGGGCGTTTGTCTATTGGTAACCAGTGAAATATTTTGAGAGTTGGGATATAAAATGTAGATGGGTTTCAAACTCTATAAGTTGCCAATTTCGAAGACAGATGTCAACAGTAAGGAACTATAACATGTGATGAAAAAAAATTTTTGGAAATGGGGGAGAGACAGCTTCCATGGCATGAAGTGGAGGACATGAGACCAAAAAGGTTCAGCGGAATGAAGAGGACTGAGAAAGAAAGACATCATGCTAATAGTTTATTGTAATAAAAGTTAAGTCATTTACCTAGATTTGGAAGCCACAGGAAAATTTTCTTTTTCCTTGATCCTCCGAATAATTCCAGTAGCTTCACACCATCTTGGAGGCCAGTCGCAACCTACGACATGGCATGCCCTCTACAGTATGATGCGAATAACTCTAACCTAAAGTAAGGAAATATTAGGTATTAGTATCACCAATCATAACAATTCATTATATTGTAATTTTGAATTGATTTCCCTCATTTTACTGGAAATTTTCTTAAAACATGGCACTTGCAGAAATTGCATATAGGTGCATTTGTTAGAGAAAGGTAAAGACACTAGAACATGCTGTAATCATAGGGGCCAATATTCTTTAAAGACCAGTGTGAAATTTACATTTTATCTGGAAAGGTAACAAATGACTGGATAAATTTTTTTTTTCCTCCTGGAAAAGTTTGGTTTTCACTCTTCCAAACTCTTCATCAAAGTTTATGATAACAGTATTAAAAAGCAAGTTAAGAATGACTGGTTATTTTCATTGATTGTGCAAGCATTGAAATAGCTGAGTAAGCGCGTCTACCTATTTAGCAGAGTACATCCAGCGTTCCAAGGTATCACAGAAGGAAAATTAGCGCATGAGCGGAAATAGCATACTCAAGTAATGACTTGGGTTACTTAATTTACTTTTAAAATTTTGATCATTAAGCGGAAAGGGAGCTTTTAAACGCCTGAACTGTTGACAAGATTAGTTTATTTGACGTTCGTTTTTCATTGAGAACGTGGTCAACACATTGAATTCGAAAAGAGTTTCTGCCAATTGTGCGGTAACGCTCCGAACTAGAGCTTTTGAGCGAAGTGTTAGGGAACCTTTTTATGGAGGACGTTATCTCCAAATTTCATGAAAATACATCGAAAGTCAGCCAAAAATGAAATCTTTAGAGTTTTTTTTTTTTTTTTTTTAATTGCAACACGAAGAACACTACTTTACAAAACAAGACGAACACTACTTACAATACCACCTACAAGACGTTACTTATTCTACTTACTATATAATACTTCCTTAGACTGCAATTCTTACCCTACTTTTTACAGTTTTTTTTTTTTTAAATTTTTTTTTAAAATTTTTTTATCGCTTACACACCTATGTATCTATTATAATTCAAAATGGGTTTCCATTTAGCCTCTAGCATCTTCCTATCATTAAACTTAGCCGCAATGTGACATTCAGTTTCATATTTTCTTTTAACTAGTTCCTTATACGAGGGGAAAAAAGGAAGACTATTATTCCTACGGCAATTCCATAAATGTAGCTTACCTAAAACGATTAAGTAATTAAATAAAGAACGATTAGTATCTGTGACACCAATTAAAATAGTCTTTAACTCAAGTTTCCTTTGTTCTTTGGCTATAGCGATCCAATAAGATTCAAATTCTTCCCAAAATGCATGTGAGTGAACACAGTAAAAGAATAAGTGATCAATTGTTTCCGCACTAGTATTGCAAAAAGTGCAAAGATCGCTTTGTATTAAACCTATCTTAGCTAAGCGGGAATTTGTGAATAAAATGTAATTTAGTATTTTAAATTGAAAGCATTGCACATATGTCTCGCAGATACAGGACCTTATTAATGAGAAGGCCTTTTTTGTTTCCACATCATCAATAGAAAATTTAGATTTCAACTTTGTGAAGCCTCTGGACTCTGTCGCCTTACTGGATATTAGATAAGACTTTGTCTATTTCATCGAGAGATTTATCCTAGAAAGGCGAGCATCCTCGTAAGAGAATGATAGAAACATATGCAAAGTACAGCTTGTTACAAGTGGCTCGCGCCAGGCACCCATCGGGCAAATCAAAACTAGTGTCCAGATCTCTCATCTAATGTTGCGTTGTGCTCTAGATATAAGCAAACCGTAGAAATCTCTAGACTTGCTAAGTGCTGTATCAAAGATTTTATCACCGATTTTAAATTGCAGTGATCTGACATGATCTTTCTTAATTTCGTGGCATCGAATTCTTAGATGACTTGGTACTGCGCAACGAACACCAGTCCAGGTCAGAAAGTTGGAATCTTTTAAACCATTACGTTTTGCAAGGTTAAAGGACTCTGTGTTACTCAAATCAAATTTTAAGTCGCTTAAAAGAATAATATTTGCGCTATTATAATTATAATAGAATAAAGGTTTGCCGTTTACTCTAATGTTATGATTGTTCCAGATGATTGTTTCACGTAGACTTACAAGATCAAATCTAGAACGAAAATCTGACCACCAGTGTAACATCTCCTTATAAAATATTGGGGAAATGTTATAGTCATTAATATTATAATCACAATGAAGAAAAAATTCTCCACCAAAAGGTTTTAGTAAATGTAATAGATACGCTTTCCAGGGATAAAAGTTATCGCTTAGAAATCTTCCAATCCATGAAAGTCGGAGTGACATAATTGACGTTGTAAAATCAGTTACCTTTAGGCCACCAAATTCAACATCATTTATTACTGCTGTCCTGGCAATTTTATCAGGACCCTTCCAAAGAAAATTATATATAATTGATTGAAGGGCCTTTATGAACTCCAAAGGAGAGGGAAGAATTGACGAGATGTATAAAACTTTAGGAAGTAGTAAACTCTTAATAATTGTAACTTTACCAAACAGAGAGAGGCCTCTCCAACTCCACAAGCGTATCTGAGATTTAATTCCTTTGAGCTTATCGTAGAAATTCTTTTGCACTGATTCTTCGTTATTGTAACTAAAGTGAACCCCTAAAGCTTTTACAGTTTTACGCCATTTCAATGCTAGAGGTGTTTCGATGTTATTACGGGAAGAGCCAATCCACATTGCTTCGGTTTTTGTATAATTCACCTTTAGGCCAGAACATTTTTGGAATTGATCAAGTAACTTAAAAAGGTATTGAGCAGATCTGATATCCGACACAAAAGCTGTTAAATCATCTGCATACTGTACCATTTTGAATTCTTTTTCATCTATTTTGATTCCATCTATTTCTGAACATGAGCGAATAGCGACTGCTAGTAGTTCCATAGCAATGATAAACAAGTAAGGAGAAAGGGGGTCTCCCTGCCTTACACCTCGATTTATTTCAAAGCTAGCTGAGAGCGTTCCATTGTTGATAATACAACTTGTTATGTTACTGTAAAAGGTTTCTATCCATCTTGTAAGACTGGATCCAAATCCAAAGACTTCTAAGCATTTGAACATAAAATTCCACTCCAGACTATCAAAAGCTTTCTCAAAATCTATAAAAAGTAGCAATCCAGGGATTTCATAAGTTTTCGTGTAATCCATTATATCTAGAATTGATCTTGCGGCCTCCCCTATGTAGCGACCTGAAACGTACCCAGTTTGATTGCTATGAATGATTTCGGGTAAAACTTTGACAATACGGGTCGCTATAACTTTGGACGCAATTTTGGCGTCGACGTTAGTCAAGGATATTGGCCTCCAATTTTCTAAGTAAGTCCTATCCTTGTCCTGTTTCTCAATAAGAGTAATCACTGCCTGTCTCTGAGATGGGGACATTTCCTTCTTCATAAAAGCTTCATTAAATGAATTAATCAAAGTATCACTAAGTAATGGCCAGAAGGTGTTATAAAATTCAATGGGTAACCCGTCGTTGCCTGGCGTTTTTGCAGTTGGAAAAGTTTTGAGAACGTTCTGGCATTCTTCCGCAGTTATTCTACCCTCACATATTATTCTTGAAT